GAGGGACTGAGTTAGCCGTGAAACTTGTTGGCGAGGGTGCCTGCTCGTAGGCCGGATCAGGGTGAAGAAAATTAATCCTCGAGAGTTTAAACGCCGGATATTTTGTGCAATTTTGTAGGAATTCTGTAGAAAATTGTGCGTTTGTATGAGATTTTGTAATTTATATAAAATTTGTTGAATAATATTTAATTGAACATGGTTCAGGATTTATACGATTATGATATTAGTAATTTTCTTAACGTACGAGATCTTGGCCTGAGTGTGTTTCAAAAAACAAAGACTAAACAAATCTAGATTAGAAATTCACGTTTGAAGCGATTTTTAAACACGGGGCGAGGAAAATCGATAACACACCCGATCAATATTTATCTACCATAGTGCCTCTCTATCCATTCCAAATCGAGTGAATCATTCGAACGGTGATACACCCATAAATTATTCCCACTCGTACACCCCGTTACGTTAAGTTTCACCCCTTAACAAGGAGAACAAATACGTAGCAAACTGTGGGGCTATCGGTTCGCGAGGAGCAACGTGTACAACACAGAATGATCGGCACGGCAACACGCCGCCGCGCCGCGCCGCGCCGCGGCACAGCGTGCAAAGAAGAGAGGAGAAGAGAAGAGAAGAGAAGAGACGCTGACGAAAATAAATCTTTGGCTCGAGACGTCGGAAAATCGCCGCGCGAAGCCGTGCCTCTTCATCTTCCTCCGTGGATCTTCCGTATGGCGCGTCCATCGATCGATCCTATCTCTCCGTCTGTCGTCGATCGTGGAAGTGAGGCCAGCCTCGATAATGCCGGCATCTACTTAACGATTCAACCAATAAATTAAATATCGTAGGGAGCCTGCCGAGCAGGAACGTTCTTGAAACGTTATCGCCGAGCACTCGTGCACAGTCGTCGTCTCGAACAACATACATACGTACGCAGATCGGTACGCATCTCGCATTCTCAATGACTGCCATTAGCTGTAATTATCCGCGAGGGGGGAGAAAAAAGAATTTGCGAAGGCATCGCGAGCACGCGTGGGTGTTCCACTCGTACAATCGTGTTCCGTGCGTACACACACACTTCCTCCCTTCCTCCTCTTTCACCGTCGACCTATCTCGTCTTTTTATTCTTCTTGTACTCCTCTTCTTTCTTCTCCTCCTCCTCCTTCTCCTGCATTTTCTTGTTCTTTTGCTGCCGTTGCTGCTGCTGCTGCTGCTGCTGCTGCTGTTGCTTCACATCCAACACGTAGAATCGACCACGGGCCTGGATACGCTTGCTCTTCGTTAATTTATTTAAATTGCCCGAGTACCAAGTGGCATGTGGTACCGAACGATTCGAGCCGGTATTGTCGGCTGAGCTCTCTTGTTATTTATCGGCGCGAAATTCCGTTTCAGGGATTTTCGTGGCGAGCCAGCCGGTGAAACTTGTACGTACACCACCGCCGCTGCTGGTCCGCCGCGTCGTATCCTACCTTTTATCCTCGGCCTATGGTTTCGCGCGTCCAAAGCTCGTGGGTCACGGTGGGTAATGCTGACGCCAAAGTGTAAAACGGTAGTCCGATATACATGCGAGAAGTGGTTGATGCGTTTAATGGTCTGAATCTTCAGGAGGATTCACGAGAAAGAGAGAGATGTAAGGTTTCATTTACGTTGACGTATATTACTCGAAATATTTGAAACGCAAGTGTTCGAAAATATTAAAAAATATAAATTCAAGTTCATCGTTGAATTATAAAACACTACTACTGCTCGTACCAAATATAAAATTAGATATTTCAATGTAAATCCTTTGAGGATCACTGAATCATAGAAAACTGTATTTCCAAAACGAATATCTTTCTTTGTTTTATTATTTTACCATTGTCAATATATGTCATGAATATGTGTGAAATTTTATTTCTCCAAGTGAAAAGCTTCAGCTTTGTAATATCACGTACATAGTAATATATTGGAGGTGGATCTTAAAAAGTTAATTCGTAAACACGAAAGATCTCGTTGTTATTTGAATGCTTTAAACATTTGCGTTTGTTCGAAAATTTTTCGCCAGGGATATAGTTTCGTTTAAGGGTGAGGCAGACATCCTCGTCGATCGATGAAAGGTTTCTTTGTTAACGAACGGATTATTCCGCTGTTAAAATATGGTAATTGTCGTCTCTTCAAGTATCAACGATATAATGCATTATTGTGATAATAATTTCTTCTGGTAAGGCAATTATTCGTTATTCAACTTGGAATAGTTTGCTCTGCGCAGTTATTCTTATCGAGTAATCGTTCATTATGCATTCAATAAGCACGTTCAATTAAACTGCAATGTTCTTTCATTACGTTCGTTTTTCACATAGTTTCTGAGGAGAATTAATTACATGACTTCTCTGATAAAATTTTGAGAAATAACTAACAAAGTAATGAAAAAGAATCGACACAAAAGTTGTGTAGTATACTCAAAAAATTGTAAAAAGTATCTGAAAACTCAACATTTGATTAACACTGTAATAATAGACAACCATTGTTAATATCATTATATTGGTCAAATTTGAAACAAGTCTAAAAATATATCACGAAATTTGAAATAATATTATATTATATAATATTATATAATATTATATGAAATAATATTATATACTGCAATAATAATATTATAATAATATTTAATAATCATTTAATAATAGATGATATTTAATACAAGTATATATTTCACAGAAATCACAAAAGTATTTAAACAACCACGATCAACAAATATTAAATATACTTGTAATAAATAGATTGCTACTTCTATATGCATTTTTAAAATGATTTCAAATTTTACTAATCATATAATCACAATAGTTGTGTCATGTTTCAGTATTAATAAAATTTCAGTATATATATAACATACATACGTGTATACATTAGTATAAAGTATTCAAATATTTTTATAAACCACTATAAAACAAAATATCAAATTAAGTAATGCAAATAAAGTAAAGCTATATTGTGTATCCACGTGCAACAAAGAATTATAAAATATACCAGAGAAAATTAAATTTTCAAATGTGATAGTTTGTAAATACTAAAAGTCGTTGACGTGGTATACATAATACTATTGAATTCACATCAAACAATCAAGCACTTGCGAGCGAAACTTAACTGTATAACGATAGTAACGTTATACGAATACCACATTTATCTTGGAATGCAACATCGTACGTTATGAACGCCAAATGGAACAAGCAAAAGGAGGATGCACCGTATATAAAATCTATTAATTGTTATGGTTAAATCACTTTAGAACTAATTACACTTTCGTTCGAAATATCATACAAGCGTTAAAAACGCTTCTTCTACACTATTTATTTTAAATTTCGAATCATTATTATTATGGCAAATGACTATCGTACCAAGGAATTTCTCATAAAGTTGAATAATGTCTCTGCGGAATCTTTTTGATCATCTTATAGTTTATCGTTTGAAAATTATTCTTAGAAACCATTGCGAAAAGCAAGGATTTAAAATGTTTTGGATTAATCGATTTTTGATCATTGTTTTGTTAACAGATGTATATTCATACTCGTAAAATTATTATGATCGAGAATCGAACTGAAAAATATATCCTTATGAATTTTTACAAGTCAATCTTTCACATAAAACAAACATGGACGAAAGATATTTTAATTTTAATTTTGCAAAATTTATTAGAGTCTTAAGTTTATTCTTCTGATCTTTTATGCCACACGTTCTATAAAATTAAAATTAAAGTGTCTTTCAAATGAATGTTTAATCATCTTACCTTAGTACTTTTTTTATGTCAAATGACGAGAGCATTTAATGAAAAAGAATTGTTAAAAATAGCTCATTACTTACTTGCGCGAAATATAATCACGAGTATGCAGTACCTCAAACTATCTTCTCCTTGTATCTCTTTTCTTGCAATATATTTTTCTAATTATTTTCTTTCCTTTTTCTGAATCATTATCATTTGTCACGATTGCATAATCTTAAAAGATTATTCCTGTCGGTGCATAAAGGAGAGTAAAGCCCCTGTCACTTTCTATTTCTCCGCATTTTACATCCTATCTAGTCCGCTGTCCCTAATGGCTGTTAAATACGTCATAACGTGTGATTAATATTCCAGTCCGACCCTCGACGTTAGTTCTTACTGAAGAAGGGGAATACGAAATGTAGGAAAGGAAAAAAAGAGAGAAAAGCAACAGTCCCTTTCGCTTTCGCATCTTTCTTGCCTTTCATCTGTTCTCTTTTTTTTTTCATTTTTCATGTCGAAATGAAATACCCTCAAGACCTGTAATTGAATAACTCGAGATCAGTGATATAGTTATCGACAGTAGCTTGAAATCGTGTATCATACTAACCAGATCGGCGAATCAAGTTTATCTTCACACTCTGATTGTGCTACGATAACGAACGTTGTATCTGGATCTATTCTCCATCCGCTCTGTTGACACGAATAAAACGACCGCGACGAGAAAAAGTGACTCCGAATGCGCGTCATCGGCTGTTATGAATGAAAGCAATGACGTACTTACACGTACAGCGGAAGAAAATTTACAAAGCAAATGATACAGGATATAATGTATAATTTCATAAAATGGAATTACACAAAAACCAGACATCTCATGGACAGATGATTGTTACTGATGATAATATAAAAAAATGTCTAATATAAAAATTATTAATTGTGGAGGTAAGTATTAATGTCATATACACGTACATTAATTTTGAACTTTCTTTTGCCCTCCACTTATACATAATGAAATTCTCAATTATATCACTTGGCGTAACATAGTTGTTAAAATTTACTAACTTAATATCCAAAACTGACAAATTTTTATTGATAAAAGGATAAACGAAATAATATTTCTCAATTTTCTACTTAAGAAGTAAAGATAAAAAATTGAATTTAATTTAATACTAAAGGTTAGTTTATTATTAAAAAAAACTTGCTTTCCTGCAAAACGAGAAACGTTTCTTTCATATCGTATTCTGTTATACTGTGGAAGGATTAAATAATCATATCTCTGTGATTCCCATCTATTTATAAACTTTTATATATCTTTATACAGAAGACAAGCTTCGTTTGTATGTACCTATATCTTTACACAAAACGGGAGCTTCTTCCTTATAAATTACAGCTTTATAAATTATATCGGAAGAGACACAGTTCTGGACTGAAAGGAAGGGCGCATTTGTCTCCTGGGTCTACGTTTTCTTCCGAAACGTATATTATAATCATCCATCTACAAACAACGCTTCGTGGAGTGCTAGTAGATTAATGGAACAGACTGAAGAAACAAAGAGAAAAAAACGGATCACGAGCAAAATTGGAACCCCGTTGCTACGACCGATCGACAGAATATCGTGTGGAATAAAAATCGACATAACAACGTCGTGGCTACCTGGAACCGCGCAGTTTCCTTGAACATCCGATAAGAAAGTACGCGTCAACGCGTCAACCCTTAACGCGGTAATTAAATAACCAAGCTTATTACTCAGCGCTACCATTACTACCAAGCTATCACACACTCTCACTCAAATGTCTTGGGAAACTTTTTATTTCTAATATTCAGCAATTCTGTGTGCATTTTATTAAAACTTTTCAGATGTAAACCGTATGAAATATAATTGAAAAGCTGCTAACTGAAACTAACTTTGTCAATATCTCAGCGTTTAAATGACTTTGCGAATCAACAATATCTTGATGCTAGGTGAAATTTACAATTACGTAGAAGTGCGAACGTGTGAGTCTGCGATTCGATAATGAACCTGAACGCAACGTTTAAAACTCTTGTACGGAAAGACAAGAACACTGTCCATTCAAAAGATGAAATCCCTATCTCACTAAAAATCGTTCAATCGGTGACAATCGAGAATTTCCTGAACTAATGAAGCATATACTAAAGACTATAGCACATAAAAACACGTGAAATATTAAAAACGTATATAATATATATAAAAAAAAAAAAATTCACACGATGATCTCTAATCCAAAGTATCATACAATTTTTCTATTTCCCAAGCAAATATAACACTTGTCCCAAGACTTTTGAGCGCGGATGTACGTACGTACGAAAGACAAACAGGACCCTCGTAGATCGTGCAACTTACACACACACACACACGCTTCCAGCTTTATTATATAAAAAGAAGAAAAGGAACGCGACGCACCAACGGCGAAAGATGCTCGCGAACTATACACACAATGTTCCCTTCACGCTTCTCTATGTACCTTGTCTTACTGTCTGTCTGTTTGTCTCTCTCTCTCTCTCTCTCTCTCTCTCTCTCTCTCTCTCTCTCTCTCTCTCTCGTTTTGTTCCTTTCAAACACATACACACACATGCACGCATTCTTTCTCATACTCGCGCTCCCATTCAGAGATATACACGTTTAAGTTACCACCTTCTTCTTAAGCAGTATCGTCGACGAGGTCGTGGTTAAGTCGATCTTTGTGGGTGGGCCCCGCAAATCGATCCGCGTTTCACACGTGGGACGCCGCGGATCGTCACTGTCTCGCGAGTCGTGACGAGGCGCGTCGCCCCCTCCGATTAATTACCTTAATTGCGACGAACGTTACAAATGTCTCAAAGAGGTATCCGGAGCCGTCGTTCGGCCCTACCCCGGAGAAACGTTTGCAAGGCGTCGAATCGGCCGAGCCTGTCGCGACTCACATCCATCGAGACCAACGAGACTTTGTATTGATATAGAATCCCTCTGCTGAGTGAGAGATACCTTTGATGCTCAAAACAAGGAATGGAAACTGTTGTTCGTGTTTCGTGAAGACGAAATTCAACTTGTAATTTCAATCCTCTGTGATATCTGTGCGTAACTTGTCATGTGGATCTATATTGTATATTTTGGGAATTTTATTTGAATTTCATCGACACTAGACTGTGGACTTTTTTCTTCTGGGGAATTCATACTTTCATATTTTCGTGTAGTGAATATGTTGCGTTGATTCTTAATAGGTTAAACAGAAAAATTTCTAACAGACAACAGTCGTTTATTCCCTGTTTTAAGGATTCTTAAGTCACAGATAAAATGATTAAATTGAAATACGTAATCAACCAGCAGTTATTGATTACAAATAACAACGTAATATTTGAGAGATTTCTTTCCTGGTCAAGTGAATATCTAATCTTTCAATAAGATTTTTCAAAAAGCTACGATCTTATGAACAAAATTGACAATGAATACTTATCGTTGCACCCTCGGAGCAGAAGTATTTCGTAGTTTACGTAGATCGTTCTAAATTTACACATCGGTGAATGAATCTTTTACTTTATGAATTATATTAATTCATTTCTCTTTCGCTAGCTTTATCCTACAACTTCGGACACGATTCTGGTACCATTTCTCACCAGTGATTGCAATTGTTGCGCAGCTCCCTGAAATATAAAGGAACATGTTAATCATATGAATTGTACATATACATCAATATGCTTCTATGATAAGTGTTCGAATTTCATATATACACTGAACTGGCCAAAAATTTAAATATTCACTGCAAAATTAATTTATACTTCTTGCATATTTTTAACTATACTCTGCAATAGTAAACACATTCATTTCCTACGCAAAATATAGGTAATATAGGTAAGAAAATCTATTAATATTAATATATTATATTATATTATACTGATATTAACATTAACATAAAAACCTAAATTTAATATTAATATTGAAATCACTCAATATCAATCACTGATATTAGAAAATCTATCTAAATCACTAATATTAATATATTATATCACATTTACTGATACTAATGTTAACATAAAAACCTAAATTTAATATTAATATTGAAATCACTCAATATCAATCACTGATATTAGAAAATTTATATATTTCACATACAATCTTTTAGTTCAGGCAAATATCAATTTCAAACTTCCTAAAATATTAATTTACTCCTTTTCCCCCAAGATTCCTCTTTATTTACTATTATCAGCTTTATTCTAGACTAGATTTTTTTCTTCAGACTAGTTATCATCTAATTCCCTCATTATCTATCAATGAATAAAAATAATTAAAGAAAAATAACTTACGCTTATCGCGGCACCGAGAAACTGACTGAACGCTCTGGTAGCACCGATTAACGCGCTACTTCCAGAATTATTACCGGCTGACTGTACCGGGACGAACGAGCTGAAAAGAGGTGGTGGATATGTAGAGCTCGGCGACCAAATTGTAGTGCGTGTCCTTGGCCCTGAGGTTGGTCTCGGTGTCACCGACTTTTTCGTGGTATCCGTAGGTCGGTTTGCAGCAGTCGATGCCGGCCTTGTCGTAATTGTCGTAGACTCGCTAGCCGGGGACGTGGCCGGAGTGGAGGTGACGCTCTGCCCGAGGCTCTGTTACAAGAAGGATAATTATTTTCTTTCATTGCGCCCCGGCACTGCCCTTGTCAGTCAATTAACTATCGTTCAACTCGCGTCCAGGTCGTTCAATTTGTAAGAATTATATCGAATTATTCGCCACAATTTCTTGTGACTCGTGCATTGTTACGATTATTAATTATTGTAACTTGGACTGGTATGAAGTTAAATTTGAAAAATTTGGTTTGCAGTGCACATCAACAGATCTTACTGAACCTAACCCTAAGTCCTTCAATACTATTAAGTGTACTTATATCAAACATTTTAACGTTAGTGGATTTACTTATATCCTAATTTTTAATATTATTAAATGTATTCGTATCCTAAACATTGTTGAAAATTTGTTTCCAGTTCAGTTTTATCCCATATTTCATACACAATGTAAATGAATTATCAGCAGCTAAATTTCGCGAGTCACGTATTTGCAACATGTATTAAATAAATTGTTACTAAGATTTCACTACTACACGGACCAAATTTTGTCGACGATACTCACCGCCAATTGAAGCTGCTCTCTAATGTTATTGGCCGGAGTTGACGGCTCTATACCTTGAGCTTTCAATAACGCCGCCAACAATGCTGCGTTACCGACTTCTGTCGTCGATGGTGGAGCCGGTGGTGTTGTTAACGCTCGACCGCTTAAAATCGCTCTTAAAAATGCCTCGTCATCCCGAGTTAAACCTGATGATTTCTTCTTCGAGGAACCAATTTTATTATCTGTAAGAAACATTTATTACGAACTGCGTCCTCGATTGTAAATCGTAAAGTTTCAATCATTTCTACGTAGAACTCACCCTGTTCAACAGCCCGCAGAAGCTCGACCAAGAACTTTGCATCATCTTCAGGGGAGTAGGTCGACGTCACAACATTAGGCAATCTCGGATTTGGATTATTTATCAATGGTTGACCAGTCGTCGAGATAGGAGCTGGCGTCGTCACCGACTTCTCATTTATAATCGAATTTGGACTGCTCACTTGAATCTTCGAAATGTCCACTGTTTTTAGTGTCGTGGTCGAGGGAATCGTCGTTGTCTCTGTCCTCTCTGTAGTTTGAAGAGGTTTCGGCGTAATGTTGACCGCCTTCTGCGTGGTTTTCGGTACCGGTTTAGCTTTCGCAGGTTTTGGAGTTGTCGATGGCCCAAATATATTCCCACCAAGGAGAGTCTGCCACAGGAGACCAGCGAAGCCTAATGGTGCTTGAGTGGTAGTTTTAGGTCGAGGAGTGGTCGCTGGTTTAGCTTTGACAGTTACAGAAGCCTTAGTGGTACTTATCAAAGTCGTTTTGATCGTAGTCGACGAAGGAACTGTGCTTGTCTCGATCCTTTCAGTGGTGGTCGTTGTAACCGGCTTCCAAGTCACTTGCACGGGCGTCGCGCTACTAATTGTTGGTTTCTGACTGGTTGGTTGCTGCGTCTCTACTGATTTCCACGTGGGTGTCGAGGTTGCCGACGACGAAGACAACTCGATTATTATTGGCTCCGAAGGAGATTTCGTCGATGATTTGTAAATTGAATTTGGTGGAGGATTTTCGGTATTGATTGCTTTTGGTGATCGAGTTGGTCCTGGATTCTTCAATGCCAGTTCCAGTATCTGGGAACAGAGTATACGAAGAAACTTAATTAAGACTGATAATGATAACTAGATGAGACTGATGTATTGTATAGTCTCTTTGTAAAATAATTCTTTTCTCGTTGATAAATTAAATTAAATTAAATTTGTATTTTATTGGATCGTCTAATAATAAATAAATAAATAAATAAATAGTAATAATTATCGTTAACTTCTTCAATTTCTGTCAGCGTGAGTATCGAGAGATGATCATATCGAACAACTGTTGGCGCAGAATAAGGAAGGCCGTTGGCAAGGTTGTTCTAGTCCATTCACCGTGACTGGTCGATCATGTGATCTGCGATTGTCGCTGATCCGTCATTATATCTTTCCGAGAAGGGCGTAACAAAAAATAATCAGCGATCTAGCCGAATTTTTTTCTCGCGATTTTTATATCTGCGCTTGTGAAAAAACACGAGCAAGGAGTTTAGATTCAGAAAACAGGAAGAAGAGAATCAAAATAGCCTCAAGCTCGATAGCATTGAAAGTACAATGTTCGTTGCACAGTTATGCAAAGGAGTGAAAGGTCGTGCTGAGATCGTTAAACGTCCGCTTCGCGACTTGTTCCTCGGTTTTCTCGTCGCAGATCGAACGATAATTGCATCCAGCCTTCGACGATAATCGCGTTATTGGTTCTTATCTTTCAAATCCCCTGTGCTTTCAAACAAATTTAATATCGCACGTAGCACATAGTATTGGTTCAATACGGGTCTTATTTTTTATTATCCCTTCTTCTTCGTACTTTTACGAAAACGCAATTTACACATTTATTCGTGTATGTATAAAATATAGTACTCTGTTTGACTGAGACACAGTAAAGTGTGGTTTCCATCGAGGCTATTATTTAGATATTCCGGATACTTTACTTTTTATACGTTAGGTATCACGTAGCCATTATATGATACGTCAATACTGAATATATAAAATATTATTGCACACGTTACGTACCTTATTTGCCAGGAGCTGCTCAACTTGAGTGAGTGTCTTCTGAGTGGTAGTCCGTGAATTACTTTGTAACTGTACAGAAAAAGAAAATATATCCATGATCTGTTACAGAGATTTATACATCATTTATCAAATGTTTGAAACAGAAAATGAATTACATCTTAATCAATTTCTTAGATAAATTCTGAATATCAAATTAAGAATATGTATTAATATTAATCTTGTAAAGACTTTTAAGCGGCGATATCTACTTACCAACGAATTCAGAAAGACCAAATCATCGAACGTAGTACCAAAAGCATTCTGCTGTTGGGGATTCAACAAATTCTTTTGTAAGTCCAACGAATTTGTTTGAGAAGATGTTGATGTTCGAGATGTTTCTACTTGTGACGCGATATTGGGCCTTTGAGCCGTTGTTGCAGGCTCTGGAGTAGTGGTACGTGCTGTTACCGTGGAAATTGTTGGAGCCATTGTCGTTATGGTCGTTGGTGCCATTGTAGTAGCAATAGTAGTAGTAGTAGTAGTAATTGTTGTTGTTATTGGTGATGCCATCGTAGTAGTAGGTGTGGGAGTTGTACTGGATGCAACAGGCGTTGATGGCGGTGGTGGTGGAGGAATGGAACCTATGTTGGCTCTGGGAACCCCAATCGCATTAGAAAACGGAGTAAAAACCTCGACAAATGGATTTATCGGTCGTGCTGAGATTGGACCATTTGGTTCTGACGAATCGTCCTAAAAAGGAGAACCGTTTACACAATTTTAGCTTCGAATAATTCTAAATAATAAAAAAGAGATAATCGAAATATTTAAAGAGAATTCCTTTTCTCAAGAAAGTAATTGCAAGATTCCGAAGAACAGTTAGATATTCAAAGGTAAAGTTCAACGAATACGAACCAGAGTGTTTGATGCAACTGAAGCTGTTATTACCGGCGAGGAAGTAGTAATACCAAAGATCTGGTCCAAAGGATCCCTCCATGGGAACCCAGGCGGAGCTGTGACTCGCCTGTCTGGTTGATTATTCAGAAGATTCTCAAACGATGATACAGCAGGCGATGGCCCCTCTTTTGTAGCAGTCTAAATAATATATTTAATAAATACAAATAATATATAATGTAATAGATAAAATAATGTAAGAGATATGGTATCTGTATAATACATGAAAATTAAAAATTAGTAATTAGTAGTTAGTATCCTCTTCGTTTTAATAAAATATGTTACAAAGATCAACATGGTTCATAACTGATGCTCATCTTTAGTTTCCAAGATATACACAAAAGAATTTTTGACATTATTAACAACGTGGTATAAAGTACACTTTTTTTTATAAATAATTGGTAATTAACATTACAGTATTTTACAGATAATATTCTAAATATTTTACAGACAAGTTCAAAGTACAGTAGAATCTCTACACAAAATATTTTCTAGTAATAGATAGTTTCTTTTGTACTAAATTATTTGTAACGATGTTTGGGAAAAAATATTAATCGAACTAAGAAATTATGTTGAGTTAATATTTCATTTGTGGATAATAGAAACGTCATACATACAACCTTTCCACAATTCGAAGTAGCAAACAAAAATTTAATTCAGATGCATAGATTCACGATACATAGAAAATGGTTTCAAAGTTTCGAAGCGCAAAAGGAATATCTCCACAGTGAAGTATTTATATTTCAGAAAGGTTAAAAGAAAAAAAAATACAGCATCTTTACAAATTCTGTTATTCAATATTCTATCATCCAAAAATTCTAACCAAACAACTTTCTCTTCCTACTAATTTTAGTTCGGAAATGAGAGACTCTACTGTATTTGAGGAACAATATCTCAATAAAATGCGCAAGCGAAGGACAGGAAGCCAAAATTAAATTCCTGTTATTCGTTCAACTTACAGCTACCGAATTTATATTCACGCCGAGAACGCGTGGGTTAGAGGTGGAAGCTCCATCGGTCCAATAATTGACGAACTTGTCCTGAAACATTCGACGTTGCTCTTTTTTCTTTCTTTCTTTCTTTCTTTCTTTTTGCTGGGGAGATATGTTGCAGCGCTGAAAGAATCAGCCGCGGCGTCGTTGTAAATCATGTTCTGTCTCTCTTGCTTTCTTACCTGTCCGATGTACACGGAGCTGCGTTGACCTCCGGCCTCTTTCGTCCTGGTGGCCTCGTCCCTCTCTCGACCCTGGACGATACGACCGCCCTGTGAATCGGTCGGCGGTCGACCGGTACTTACTATCGGCGTCACAGACGCTGTCCCCATTTGCGTATTCAACAGGGCATTGCTCTAAACAATGCAATATCATACACATTTTTTTAAACTGCTCGAAACGAACCTGCATCTTGAAATACCGAGATGAGATTAACAGCGAAACTTTGATCGATCGTTCAGCAAGGGCGAAAAATAACATTCGTCCCCAAGAACTTTTATGACAATAATCAGGTAACAGAAACTTGTTTATCATACAAAGTACAAAGAAAACTTTTTGAAAAAACGATGTAACTGAACAATTTTAATTTTTAAACTACTAATCTCTGGTTGCAAATAGTAATTATAAGTGACCAGATTATTATTATCATATGTAACCAAGAACATTTAAGGTAAAAGAATAATTATCTTGTGAATTTTTCCATTTTTAGTTACAACAAGAACAGTAACTGTATTTTAAAAATAAGAAAAATTGCAATTGCGGTAGAATTCTATTCTACATAGGGTAGATGAAATGATAATCACATAAATGATAAAAAGTCAAGATTCCTTTAGAGAGATGTTTCCACCCCTAAGATTGTTTCTCAGTAGAAAAAAATAATTGAAATTTAGAAATGTACATGGTAATAACAAATAAAGAACAATCGACTGATATTTCGCTATAATCGAGGGGCCTCGCTGAGATAATTGGTGGGAATGAACGATGAATGAAAATTATATATTCAAATCCTATTTCGAAGAGTTTATCGAATCCTATAAAATCCTTCTTTCTGCGTTATTTAATTTTCTTTCCTTTCCATCACATTTCGCACGAAGAGTTTCACAAATTTTTGAACTGTGAACATTTCGAAATGTAAACCTTCAAACCTACTGAAAATTCAGTGCGTTTCAAAGTGCGCGGTGCATGAAAATGACGAACATGCGACACACACATGATCATTATTTACAAATTTACAGTGAAATTATGTACAACTTCCCACTATTTAATTAGAGCAATCTGTATGGAAATATTATATTTAAAATGGTGAATTAAGTTGAAGTAGGCATTTGATAAATCCTTCTTAACATCAAACTGGATCGAAATATAGACTTTAGAATAACGTGGACTAAGAAACATAATGAATTTAGAAGAAAGACAGTAGTGTAATTAATCGACAAGAAATTGGAAAATTAGTACCACCAAAGAATCTACTTCAACGAAACCAAAGCGTTAAACAAGAAGCAAGTATTCCGCGCCGTTGTTGCCATAAAAATTAGAAGGTCGATTGTAATTAAAAAAATTACATTACAAGAAAATTATATTACATATAATTATATATTATATATTGATATGGTCCGTATACGATGTCATATAATTATATATTGATATGGTCCGTACACGATGTCATATAATTTTATATTGATACAGACCGTATACGATGTCATATAATTATATATTGATATGAACCGTATACGATGTCATATAATTATACATATAGGAAAGAAATAATATAAATGAGAAATTAAATGTCAAAAATTTCAAAAAAAAAAAATGCAAAAAAAACTTGTTAATATTTTCAGCCTAAATTAAGAAAGATCCCCAATCCGGAAGTTATAAAATTGTGCGGATGTATGAAGTAACTTTTAAAACAGAAGTTACTTTTAATTAAAATTATCACGCGAAGAAAGATTTATCAATTCACTAATATAATTCACTAATTATAGTAAAATATACTTAAATATAAGTATAAATGTAAATATAAATCTTTTGCTACGTGATAGTCTCAAAGTTTCTTCTCCATCCCCTCACGGATATAAAACTTACAGCGACTACAGAAAGTATCTCTAAAATTTCATAATTTCGCGAATTTCCAGGTTGAAGATCTTCGACTATCCAAGGAAGCTTTTCACCTCCCTTCACATTTTATGCAACAATGACAGCGACGATCGTCGAAAGAGAGGACGTCGAAAAATGACACGTCAAATGAGAAATAAACTGTACTGATTCACTTGGAACGGAACTTGTGTACTCGTACGTGCGCGTATACGAGCAACGGCGCACGAACGGCTAACGATCGATGATGATGAACAGGAGATTAAGAGATACCGTTTCGTTGATGCTCGGGAGGCTAGCAGGGGTACCAAGTGGCCCAGTATTATCGGGTCCACCTCCATTGGGGCCGACGATCGCGTTACCAGAAAGGCGAGCATCAATGGTGCCGGGAGTTTGGGCGTTTCTCGTCGTTTCAGCGACAGGTCTACCGTTATTATCGTACACCGGGCCTCGATACTGATTGTAAGTGCCTTGGTTAGCCTGGTTATAATACGGTCTGGGTGGTGGCCTGTTAGTGGTAGTGGAAGTGCTAAGTGTGAACACAACCTCGACCGGTCTCCTAGGTGGATCCGGTATTATCGTTCCATTCGGGAATTTCCGGACCAGCCTGCCATCCGGGAAGATACCGAATATCACGTACGGGCTGTCCACGTTCCTAGCATCGATCAGGTTGTCCTCCGGCCGTTTCCTCACGATCGTTTTGTTCGGATAGATCCCGTACACCAGGTAGTCGCGTAGAGGCGCTCTGGTGCTCGAGCTCGTGCTGAACCGCGGAGCTGGTGTCAATCTGTTGCCACCGAAACGACCTAAATACGGTGTCGTAGGACTCTGAAAAGTTAGCCTAGATTTGGGGCTAGTTGTTGTCTGTGTTCCAGGGGTAGTTTGCACGGACATGGTCGTTGTTGCTTCGGTGGGAACACCTCCAGGTGTACTCGTGAAAGTTGGCGTCGCGGTTGTACCGTCCGACGAAGCTGGACTCGTCGACGTCGTCGTTTCAGTAGACACGAGATTCTCCTCTATATTGACCGTAGTAGTAGTAGTAGCAGTGGTAGTTTCTGTCAGCGGGGTGACAGTGACGATGCCCATTGTTGTTGTCTGAGGTGTCGATGTACCCCCGTCAGGCACGCGTCCTATACTCGTCGGCGTCGTCGTCTCAGTCGTGGTCGTCGCCGTCGTCGTTTCGACCGAAAATGAAGTGGTTGTGGCGAGAGAAGACTCGGGAGACGATGAAGTGGGGGATTCGGTGAAGAGCGAGGGTGTGGTCGAGGAATCTGGGATCGTGGGAGTTGAAATTTCGGTCGTTTGGCCGATTCTCGAACCTGCCGTCCTTTGGGCGGTTGTTGACGTGGTATCCTGGAAACGGGCAACAACAGTTGGAGTTTCGTTCTCGAGGGTTGGGGTCGTTTGGGGGATATTTTCGCTGGGCGTATTAGTAGTAGTTTCCGTGGATGGCATTGGACTCGACGTTAGCAGAGACTGGTTAATAGCGACTCTCTCCATGAAATTAACATCCAATGGCGCGGTGGTTGTAATTGATAGCGTGGTGGCTTCGAGGGTTTCGTTATCAGCGGTTTCGGTGGTCAAAGGTACCAACTGAGTGGTGGACTCTGTCGTTTGGTTAGTTTCCACACGTTGGACCGAGCCTATGGTAGGCGTCGTCGTGGTTTGAACGGTTTGATTCGTTTCAGCGGGTACAAATGGTGTGGTAGTGATCGTATTTACAAGAGAAGGGATAGTTTCGGGAGCTATGGTAGTTACTTCGGATTCGAAAGTGCCAGTGTCTGTCACAAGCTGTGATGTTACGGTGGTTGCCGCTAGTTCCGTGACACTTCCTGCAACCTGGTCAGAAGCTGTTTGAGGATTCATCGTTGTGACTAAATTTGACGAAAACAGATTGAACGTGTTAGTGGTTAGTTCGTAGTTCACGGTGGATGTGACTGTGGTATCTGAGCTTTGTGTGCTGATGATTGTCTGTGTCTGAGTCGTAGTGTCGGGATCTATCGATCCTCTATTCGACAGGGTAACCAGTGACCCGATTTCTGTCGTAAACTCTACGGGGGTCGTCGACTCTACGATCTCGGCAAAGGGTCCTAATGCTACCGGTGTGGTTTCGTTCCGTACACTCTCTACTTTGTCGTCAGACATGTTACTGCGAGGGATCGTTGTCGATGTATCTGTCGAATTTTCAGAAGAGTTTTCGGCCGTAGTGGAGTCTACCTCGTTCTGGGGAGTATCAACGAAGAAAGTAGAAGATTTGGGCGCAACTACGGTGGTCGACATTGAGTCGACGCTTTCTGTCGTGACATCCAAGAGGACGGACGATGTTTCCGTAGCTTGAGTTGTCGTGCTGAGTACGTCGTTCGATAAACTCGGCCGGTCTATCTCGTTTCCCATCGTGTCTCCTAATCTAGACGTGACGTTCGAATTTTGCCTTGCTGTCGCTTCTTGGCTACTGTTTATCTCCTCCGAAAGGAGTGTCTTGGCAATGGACATCAACTCTGTCAACAAAGTGTCGTTCGTGGAAGTGACGATCGACGCGGTGGTTACTTCAACGTCTAACGTGGGGCTCGAGGAGTCGTTCGAATCTCTTACGATCGTTGAATCTGTGTTCGATACTGTCTGAGAGTCTTGTGTGACTGTTGCAGTTGTTGTTGTTGCTGGTGTTGTGCTTGTGAACGCATTCAATTCGTCCTGCGTGTCGACTTCTCGACTGGGTACCATTGTGGATGACGAAGTAGTGATTGAACCTACTGCGTTTTCGGTGGTCACTTCTTCGGTTGTTCCTAAACTCGATTGGTCCGTCGTGACTCCTTGACTAGTCGTCGTCTCGTCCCTCAATTGCGACAGAGACTCCAAACTACGGTTACCATTCGAACCCGATACCACGTTCGATATTTCCGTGTCGATCGCGGGAGGCAACGTCGTCGTCGAGTCTTGACTCGGTAGCATGGTCGTCGACAGAGTCGCTTGCAATCGCGATAGAATATCTTCTGCGAAATCAATCAACCTGGTCCGAATCGTAGACGTGGACGTCGTCGTGGTTGTCTCCACGTTATTCGCGTTATTCGAATCCATCTCGGTCGTTGAAGCATCGGTCGAGCTGATATCAGCTATCTGCGTGACAGTAACGTCAGACAGTGGTATAGTATTGATCTCGGGATTTTCGGAAGTAGTCGCCGTGTTGGTGACGGTTGTCGTCTCTGACACGTCTACTCTTGACGTGACGTCGAGCTCGGTACTGCTAGCTTCAGAGACGGAGCTCGTAGTCGAAGCATCCGTGGTAGAACTTACAAGTTCCTGATTCGTCGTAGAATTTCGAACGTCTTCTGCATCCGTGACGTTCGTCGTCGTTTCATCCGCAGCCTGCGATGACGACTCTGTGCTAGCTGGCTCGGTGACAGGCACAGAACCGACTCTGACGGAGATCTGTTCCAGGGTAGAAGACGAATCTGTACTGGTGGAAATTTGTTCGGTACTGGAAAGCGATTCTGCGCTGGTGGAGGCTTGTTCGGTACTAGAGGACGGTTCTGCGCTCGTGAAAACCGAGTCGGTGGTCGTAGGGGTTTCAGGGACTGCTGCGATAACTGGGGGAGTGGAGTTCTCCGGGTCCTCGGATAATCTCGGGGTCTGTGTGCTGTCCTGAGTAGTGTTCGCGATGGTGTCTGGGGTCTGTGGGCTGACGGTCGCTACAGTGGGACTTGTCGTGTCATTGTTAACGTTATCGCCGATGACGTTAGCGATCGCAGTGGCGTTAGAGTCTACCTGGGAAACCCTGTCAGATCGTTGCTCTTGCAGCTGTAAACTCGCGTTTCGCAATAATTGTTCGTTCCTGATGCTGGCTGACTCCAATGCCTGATAAAGGGTCAAGAATCTCGGCTCGCCAGGGCTCGAGATGTCGATCGGTGGTGCCGAGCCAGAATTCTAGAAACAGAAATTTCATGCGTGCAGGAGGTGCTGTATGTATATACACGAAACTCAGTGCCGGGTCTCTTCCTTCTATGTATATATGTACAGTCTCTATGTTGCGTTAACACACGTCTGTCGGTGTATTTACAATGACAGGAAGATCCGCATACGACACGATCGTTGTTCGTTCTTTAAGACAATCTGACGTGCGGCTAAAGATTACGGAAGTTTATCGATCATTTCGTTGATTAAACAATCGAGTGAGCATACATGCACCATCTCTTGGTAAAGATACGAACTAGGCAAGGGAAGAGGAGAAACCGAGGTTGCTTGAACGCACCAAGGAACACGGGCATTAGCAAAGCAACGGTGAACTAGAAACTCGTTCTTCGGGCGAAGGATCGTTGATATAGAGACTGGTTGCCCCGCTCACTTTGATTTTTTTTTTTTCTCTCCTTTTCATCGCGATTTCTCACAGCTGTTAATCCTCTCTCACAGAGGTCTCCAGTGATATGTCTTTGACAACAGCTGTTGGAACAATGTCGGAACGTGATACGATTCGAAAATAATTCATAGAAATTGTTGCGCGTTGAAAATTCTTAGACAGAGTTAAAGATAACAAAAGAAAAGTCATATCGATTTCATCAAGAGTGACGTATGTTGGTAATGCTTGCAGATTTTTTGCACGTCAATCGATAAACGAGCTAAAAGCTCGAATTCGGAGGAACTTGTTGCAGAGAATATCCGAGGTCGAGGCTGTCCCGAGGGAAAGTAAATTCGTGACCTTAAATATCTTTCTTTGTTTCTTGGATCGACTTACATACATGCTTCAGATATTACACAGTTGAGACAATTTTCACGTATACACACGTAATACAGCATCCATTTACTTTCACTCGTTACCGCTTCAAGCACCGTAAAACGCACGGTTCGCGAAAATTTGCCCGCGTCATCAGAATGTGCGCTCGTATTCGAAAGTTCCGTTTGGTTACGTCGAATTTCAACGAACCTGGATCGAAGCGTAACTCAGTTACACTTATTCAATCCTCGGTCGATCCGTGAAAGTCGTGGGAGTATTCATTGAAGGCAGAAATCGTACAAATTGATTTATACTACAATCGTTACGATGATGCTGATTTATTCTGATTTTCTGGATTTCTACAAAACGTCGAAAACAATAATATTTTTATATTTTAGAAAATGAAACAACGTATTGGTTTTACGGTTTCTCCATTTACGTTTAATAACTCTCAGTGTAGTTACTATATGATACGAAAGAACAATTTATGGACGCGATTAAAAATAAGAACGAACAACTGCGTGTCGCGTGCGATCCAAGAACCAGAACATTTATTATCAAAGATATATTATATATGTATATATGTGTATATAATATTGTATAACACTGTGTATATGCATTATGGTGATAGTAAAACAACGTAAGTATCTGTACACATTAGTAAATGCAAATAACCCACGATAATAAGTAGCATAAATCACAAAATTAAAGGTAAACGTTAATCACAAATATGTTATATATACTTTTTTTGTTCGTTTTCTTGTGTTACTTATTATCTTTTTTTTTCTCTCTTTTTATAATTTAACCATAAAGAAAGTTGCAAAACAAGAATTATTCACGATATCTATCGTGCGGTACCTATGTGGGAAAACGCAAAATCATATTAACAAAGTATGAAGTGAATAAGAAGAAAAAAAGAAAGAAACATCTTTTAATATTATCGGCGATATTTTAAAGAGAATTCAATTGCGAACGACGAATCGCTATATGAATGGAAAGAAAGAATGATTAATAATTAGCATCTGACTCAAGCTTGGGCAAATTCTATTCGAAAAAGACAAGAAAATGACAATTTGAAATAACAAATTACTTCTTATTGTCGTTTTAAAAATAAATCATTTGCGAATTATTTTTCATTCGAATTAATTTATTGAGACAAAATCTTTAGATACTGAATGGAAGTATGAGAAATTGTTTTGCACAGTAATAAAATCGAGAAAAATCATTTGCAAATCATAGTTCGAATAAACTGATTGTTACTGCCAGATAATATCGAGCCAAGTAAGATTATGTATTATTTAAATAATCATTATTCGAACATTGTCCAAGCCTGATCAGACCAAGTGTGAAAATCCAAATGATTAGTTCAATGCAGTTTATTTATTATTTATATCGATGTCATTAGAATCGAGACTTCCAGATGGAGTTGTGATGACACCAATGTGATCGGTCCACGATGGTGGCGAGACTGCTCCGATCTCCTCGGCTACCTTCGTCGTGAAAACCTTTTAAGCACACAAAAAACGACCACACTGACTGATTGTTAATCACCTATGATTTTCTTCTCCTGCCACGTAATCTTACCTTGGTTAATCATCGTCACGATCCATTTCTTTCGCACAAGACCTTACCTTCCGTAATTTAACGCTACTTTACAGTTTTTGTTTGAGATCGAGAACGAACACGTTTATAATCTAATTACTACTTCATTGCGAGTGATATCGGATGAATTTAACTATTGAGAAATTACGACGCAAAGTAATGAGCTGTGAGTGGATTTCTGTGGAACTTCGTATTTTTGGAAATGTAATTTACGCATTAAGCGTTACAAGGGGACACTTCAGGTAATTTAGATATTTCAATTTACATGTATTCTGTGCTCTTTGATATATTTCAATAAATATGTCAAAATTTGCAGTCTAGTATTAAGAAATAGCATCGAATAGTACCTTATTGTAAGTAATTAAAAAGTAAAATAAATATTTTGAAGAATACAGGAAACTACTTAAAATGTTTGTAATTAATTTCTTGTTAGTACCTCCTGAATATAATTTATGCTTCTTAGATATTTGAATATCTGAAAAGTCTTACCTCTACGGGTGTAACTGGCGTAGTCGACGAACTAGTGATCGATGGCACAGTGGGCTGATAAATATTATTTTGTTTTCTAACGAACAACTCCGCTCCTTTGTATCTCGCGCTGAAACGGGGCGGTTGTCCACTCGGGGTGATTCTGGCTGGCGAATTCTGGCACGAAAAGAAAAAAAGAAAATATATATTCATTACGTCAATGTTACTCGATCGATTTGTAAATTCTTCTTTTATAAAAAAATTTAGTCTTATTAACCCCGTAAGATTCATTTCTATAACATTATCGCAGACATTCCCGTTTAAAAAATGATGTTTCAGACAATTTTACAAGCGTTTCTAGAATAATAAAATAAAAAGACTAGGTGTACTGATTCTAAGAAAACAAAGCAACAAAGTAGAAAGAGACTGTGTGTTTCTTTCTGACGCGATTTCTTCATGTCCAGCGAGCCCTTAAAGGGTTAATAAAATCCCAGACAATTGACGTTTCATCGAAATAAAAACAGGACGAGTATTTACCGCGTTGTTAACGTTACTGTACGACTCGGAGAACACAGGTGTCTTGTTACCAAGAGAGCTGAGCAACGGTGCCACGGTGCTTCTCAGTTGCTCGAGCAGCGTGTTGTTCCCACTGAGGAACGTGCTTCTGGTCGGATTGAAGATGTTCGAGTTACCAGTGTCGCCGTTACTGCTGTCGATAATCCCCGATGCCGACTCGTTGGCGATCTTCAGGCTCATTCGCGGTTCCTGCGCTACCGATCGAGGGGACGCTGTCGTGGTCCTCAACGTAGCATGGTACTTCGTCGATCTGGGCGTGATGGCGACTCCTGCACGCCTGTCGACCTTGGTACTCGACTCGATTAAAGTCGTCGGGACCTCCGAGTGTCTTCTGTAGGTCGCGGTTCTAGGGCGAAACTCGAGCTTCTTCGTCTGAGTAGCTGACCTCTCCGTGGTTATCGATCCGTCATCGATACTATTCACCAACGACTTCTTCCTCGAGTATCTGCTGGTCGGTACTGGCACTTTCGCGGTGATCGTAGCTTCGTCGTCCGTCTTCTTCTCGTCGAGAGACTTCTCCTTGGCTCGTTTGCTATAGCGTGGTCTAAATATGGGCTTGCCAGCGCTGTTGGAAAATTTCGTTTTCTTGGCAGCGTCGTCTTGCTGGGACGTTTGCGATTTCCTATGCGTGGGAGCGTAGGGTTTCTTAGGTGACGGCGTCGTGGACCTCTGTTCGATCGCCGTCGACTGCTCTTGCAATTGGAATTTCGTGTTGCGCGATTGATAGACGTAGGGTTTCTTCGGTTTAACGGTGGTGACGTGATCGCTGCTCTCGGTGCGTCGAGTGGAGTAGAGGGAAACCTTCATGTTCTTGATCGTCGAGTCCTCTTCCTTCGACTTCTTTCCTGCTCGACCACCGGACAGACGAATCCTCGACGAGTCGACGACAGTCTCCGATCCCTGTTCCGCGGGTAGCGTCGCCGAAGGATTCGTGGATAATACGTACGGTTTAGTGGTCTCCTCGATGGCGGTTCTCTCCTCGATCGAGATCGAGGTGACCATACGTTCAGCAATGATCCGCCCTTTCTTTAAACCGTTCGGTCGGCCGGTGACCTTGGACGAATCCTCGTGGTCTTTCCTCGAGGATTTCACGTTAACCTCTTCTCGAGAGCTTTCCACGGAAGTGGAAGGCCTGTTGCTACGTCCTCCCGATGCCGTGGCGGCGGGTTTACCGTGTTCGGTGACCTTGCTCGTCTCATCGAGCACCGGCACGCCACCGGTTGCCCTCGGTTTGCTGAAAGAGGAGGCCGTGGTTGCGTCGAGATCATTCTCCTCGATGTTCAACTCTGGCTTCACTAACCTCCTAGCCAGATCCAGCTTCATCCGCGATCTTTCAGCGAACAGAGCGGCCGACGATTTTTTCACCTGAAAGGGTCGTTCAAACAGCTCCGTTTTAAGATAGTGGAAAACCGCTGTCGAGACTAAAGCCGGCTCCGGAAGCTCGAGCGGGAACTCTGTTAGTGCGCCACGGTCTCGACGTGTTTTCCATCGACAGGAGACGTTCTCAAGGTCGGTCAGAAAGCATACACTCACGACAGGTCGGGGAACGAAGGACGGTACCGTATCGATTAGGGGGAGACGACATAGCGCGCGGCCGATATTTTCCTACATGAAGAATAGGAGCTTGAGGAAGCGTAGAAACGAGACGATCCAGGCCGCCATTTGGCTCGTAACGAGCTCGAGCCACGATTTCACTGTACTGGACAACAACTGGAAAGTTCAATCAGTGTTATCAGCTGTGACGCCGCTTCGAGGATGCGTTTCATTTGGGTGCGGAAGAAAGAGAGAGAGAGAGAAAAAGAGAGAGAGAGAGAGAGAGAGAAAGAGAGCGAGGTGTGAACACGACCATATTCTTTTCTGTTCTTATTTTTTCTTTTTGATTTTTTATTTTTGGTGAACAACGGTGACGGTGACAAACGCGGTGAATCGATATACAAAATAACGCAAATCTGACTCCAATGAAGCTTTTCTTTTTTATACGCAATAAAAATAAATGATTGGCTGGCAGTTTAGTATTTGGGACAATTCCAACCAGGCGGTATATCAATGGAGATCTTATCGCTAGAGAAATCTATCGATGGATGTTAAAAAGTCTTCCATTAGAAAGTTTCATGACGAGTCTAATTTACATGAAGAACAATTCACCATCAGGTTTGATCAACACGTACGTATATATACATATGACTGATAAATATATGTATAACTATATAAAATTAATATTATTTGTTCATTAGTCATACGCGAGAACGAATAAAATTTATACAATAAATAAACAAAATTCAACAACACTGTTCTAAACAAACGTACAGTACTACAAATATTGGCAAGAATCACTGTATTTCTGAATTATATTAAAAATATTCGAATAAGATTGTTTTGTGTGCAAAAAGAACAGGATTGTATTAATTTTCTCACGTACACACGTCAAGCTCGTAACAAAAGTTTCGAACGAAAAGCTTCAGATATCTCTGACATTCATCGATAAGTTCCTCTTCTGATAACATAGCACTTTCAATATACCACACAGATGAACATTACCCTAAATAATTAAACTTTCGCCAAATGGTTAACTTCGTACTAACTGTGAAACTATTTTGTCGCTCGAGTGTGGAAAAGAAAAAGTGATGCATCGTTTGACAGCTATTCTGGTTCTTAAAAGCGTCGATCAAGCGATTAGCTGCGGTGAAGAAAGTGATGTAATTCTGTTTCTCGTACAGTCATGAAAGTTCTTTTTGTTACTCTGGTCTAGTTCGTTGTAAATTATAGCGAAATTTCAGAGCGAAATAGAAACTCGTAGCAATTTTGGGCAACGATCGTGAAAACAATTTCTAATCTAACATCCTTCCTATGAAACGCGGGTTTCTTTGCCGACGATGAAGAATGAAATTGAGAACATTTGAAAAAACTCAATTAGATTGGTCGATTTAATGAAATGAAACAGACATCGTTGGACATTGGCGCTCTACATTCTAACAACCTATTACCGTTAATTCTGTTCGGTGTCTTTTACTTGGGCACAAAGGATCTTTGCTCGACTCAATCTCGACGTAATTACAGAATGGAAAATATTTGTTCATGATTTCAAACAGAGAATGTCATGATCCCACACAGTAGAACCGAATGATTTCATTGGCTTCGTGACAATTGCTTCTATCTTTCGCCGTGAAGAATTTACTCCTGAATCTTAGACGTAATTATAATTAAAAATAATAAAAAAAGTACGGAAAAGAAATTTCTCGGTGATAAAGATCGGACAACTCGTTGGTTGTATAATCGATTGTATAATGACTGAATTGCAAGTCGAGAAATTCTTGTAAATTTTATTTTCCATCGTTTTCTCTGCGAAATTTTCGAAAAATTTTCAATACAATCTTAATAATCACAAGTACAAGAATAAATGCAAGCGATAAGTGTAGCAATGGTTTAAAGTGAAAGTCACGAAGTTGAGACAGTGTGGAACATATATCGCACAACCTATAAATATTTGAGATCATTTCCACTCGAATTTAAATTTTATTTCATTGCAATCGACTGCAGTATCCGTTAAATTGTTTCTATACTTATTCAAATCAAAAATATCTTTACTGCCAAAAAAATTCAAAATCTCCCATTTCTTCAACCACAAAATTCCCTACACATAATTATTATCGCTGGCTAAAGAGTGTAAAATACAATGAAACTCCATTGGAATTCATATAATAAGAGTCCATTGACTCTCCCCTTTACTAGTAATTTTTCGTTCACGTAACAAGAGTTCAGGTTCAAATAAATGGATTTAATCTGAACGGAGTTCTACGATCATTCCAGAAACCTACGACAAATAAGACAACAAGATAAACGTATGATTTCATTCGGATGATCTCTTTCGGGATACATTGAGGTTACCTTACTAAAAAAATCGGTAAACGCGTTACATTTAAGTAGGTTAAATAAACCTTCACTTTCACCACCGGGATTCCAAAACAAAAGAAGCTGAACGAAAATCGAAAACCAGTTTACAGACTGCGTAATGCACGCCGAGCCTTGGATAACCAGAGTTCGTCGAGTGAGACACATTTTCGCCCGTGATCGGGAGCAGAGATAAAAAAAAAAAAAAATCTATTTCTGAAGAACGAGCGAACGAAACATGCTCGTTTGGACCTTGAGAGAACTCCACGTCGAGGATTCGTCGTTCCTCGTGTTAAAGGGATATCGTTCGATCCAGTCGTGTTTGGAGGTGGACGATATCGTCGAAGCAATCGAGATCACGATGCAACCGAGATTTCAAAAAGCATCCGACTTCCCTCGAAGTCGTGAAAGAGAGAGACGTCGATTTTTCACCAAACACCAGAGGGAAGCTTGTCTCTCAGTCGGCGTTCCTTTCTCTTTGTTAATCGCACATCACTGTCCAGTCTCGATTGGTCGTCAATGATGTTAGAAGCAGACAGATTACACAGTTTCGCGACCTTTCCACCAAACACACTCATTTTCGATATTACGCGGGTATTGCGTTGGTATTTCCGAGGCGAAAATTTAGCACGAACATTGCGAAGATAGCGAAAGAAGAAGTCACTGAGATGATCATATGGTGTATAGTATTTGCTAGTATACAAAAGGAAGAATTATTTCTTAAACTACTGGAAGATACAACGATATTTATTTTTCTTTGCAAGAAGCTTCTAACGCGTTGATTGTCTCGATGATGGTAACCATTCTACTTGTATAAATAATTTAGAATGATTAAAGTAAGATATACTGAAATAAAATCAGATAAATATTGATGAAAACGTAACTAGATATAATAGAGCCTCCGATGTTATCGGAATACTCTAACATCATAGTAAATTATTTCATACATATAATAATATAATAATATGTTTGATATAATATTATGTATATTTATTACATAATATAACATTATTGCATAATAATAAATTGCATAATTGCATAATTTCATTAATATTATTGTATAATAATTTACATATCAAACATATTATTTTATAATATTACAATAATATTATTTATAATATTATTAAAATATTATATTGTATATATAATATAATAATATGTTTGATATTATGTATATAATATTATTTATTAATATACATAATATTATTACATAATATAACATTACTGCATAATAATAAATTGCATAATTGCATAAATGCATAAATATTATTGTATAATACATATCAAACATATTATTTTATAATATTACAATAATATTGTATAATATATATCAAACATATTATTTTATATTACAATAATATTATTTATAATATTATTAAAATATTATATTGTATATTATTATACATAATATAATAATATTATTATATAATATAACATTATCGCATAATAATAAATTGCATAATTACATAATTGCATGAATATTATTGTATAATAACATACATATCAAACATATTATTTTATAATATTATTTATAATATTATTAAAATATTATATTGTATATTATATAATACTATATAATATTAATATAATATTAATATACATAATATAATAATATAATAATATGTTTGATTTTATATTATGTATATTTATTATAAATATGAAAAAAATTTACTAAAATTAGATTATTAAAAATTTATAAGACTTTACTAAAAAAATAATACTGTTCTATAATAAACGATCGCGCATCAACGTTTGCCATAGTATACGCCCGATATAATTCTGAAATCTCCAATAATTTAAGAAATAATTACACAAACCAACTGCACCGATATTTACATACATACAACATTCTCCTAAACTGCAGCAATTTACACAAAAAAAAAAAAAAACAATGCGCAACGTACATATGTCGTATTATATGTCGAAATGAATGCGTATTCACATTGACACGGAAGCGGGACACGAAAATAAGAAAGATTCTGAAATGCTGGTGACATCGACATAAACGTACGGCCAAGCACTTCCGTCGAAAGATGATTGACGAAAACGATGATTGACGGGTTTGCACTCCATCTCCCAGAAGCGCGAGAGAAGCTCCGCGAACGCATCGATACACAGAGAACAAGCGATCGCGTAATGCCAATGATTTGTCTGTACTCTTACGCGTCGCAGTCCTCTGCCATTTATCAATGTTAAGGGATTCACGACTAAACTTTCGTCCGTCAAAACATTTGCTGAAGCTGCGGTTTCGAGGTCGTCAGGCTCGAACGCCATCGAGTTGTTCCTCGAGCGCCGGCCATAGATCCTCCGCTCTTGTTCCTACACGAATCAATTTCGATTTAATAATGCGAAGTAATCCGACTCTACCGATGACTGTTACGATAGAGATGGTACCGGAGTATGTGTTTTATGGGACACGTTCGCAGGAAAGTTCGCCGAACGATAAAGTGGTGATCGTGTGGTTTGTTACGTGCATGCTGATTAAGTTGTTCAGTGTTAGGAAATGTATAATACATTGTTCGATTTTTTTTTTTTCTGTCACAGTCATCTGTCTTTGCAGTTCTTCTTTTTTTTTTCTTTTTGGTTATCATATAGTTTTTATGTTTAGTTGTCTAGTGATTAACAGTGTGTACCATTTTCATTCTGTTATTTTACAGCAACGCAATATAGTGTCAGCGAAACGTCTACGTATTAAGGTATTGTCATAATGAAAGCTGATGACCGTTGAACTAGAATAGAAGCATAGAAGTATATGTTACACCTTATTAATTAAAGTTCAAGAGAGATATCATTCGGATGCTGTAAGCTGATTTGAAGGGCGCTCTGAATTCTTACCTCCAATTGCGTGCGAGAGGTGGTTTTTGGGGCTGGTATTTTCGTGTTGGTATTCTTCTGAAATCATACTTCTCAATTAGCACACGCTGCTGTCCTTTATGAAAATGTAACGCAAGTCTCTACACGCGTGTCAAGCTTTCTTTCTTGTATATTACACGTAGGTATATAATCGTGCAACAGCTACAATTCTTGTGACATTAAGTTTAGAATTGCAAAGAATAAATAACTAATTTTCATCTGATACACAAAAACCAATAATTGCAATGTAAATTTGTGTAAATTTTCTTATATGAATATTCGTTGTTCAATTGATTTGATGTTGTTAACTTTTAAGTAGAAAAAAAATAAATTTCTCTTTGAAAATATTCAAAATGTTCACGACTCTCCTAATTTAATCGTAACATGCCAAGTGAGTCACAGAAATATTCGTACTTTCTCAATTGCTGGCACTGAACAATCGACAGTTGTCAGCGCAAATTCTGTAATCATCAATTTTGAAATAAGTAATTAATTATAATGCAAAAGCATACGGTATAATTTAACAGTTTTTAATTAACATTGGCGAGAATTTTGAAAATTACAAAACAAAAAAAGATGTGAATCGCCGTGCAATTGGCAATAATCCGCGATTGCGATCGTTTTCGACTACTTCTGTGATCTACTGTACGTTCCTCGTCCGTCCAGTAAAATCGCAAACTCATTCAACATTTCCTCGGTGAAAGGTGGCCTTAATTCCACCATAAATCCAATTAAGAAATAAAACTCACCAGCTGAGTTAACCTCGCCTTAAACTCGGGCGGATAATTGTCGCTCTCTTCACGGTCCGCGGTCGCTTTGCCGTTCCCAAAGGTTTTGTTGCCTCTTCTGTAGCTCTTTGCCGTGGTTCCAGCCACTGTAGAACTTTCATCTATTGTTTGCAGCTTCTTAAAGCCTCTCCTCGAGCTGGACGTGGTAGAACTTTCCGTGGTAGTCGCTGCAACTTCGGTGCTGGTCGATTCGTCGTTCGGCGGTATTACTTCGTTCGTTTGATCCCTCGACGAGGGCACGATCGTTCTCGAAGGATTCGCGGTGTTGTTAAAATTGCCTGGCCGCCTTCTGAGCGTCCAGCCTGGATTTCCGTTTATCGGGGTATCGTTTTTCCACAAGATCGTTTTTCTAGGCTGCGTCGCGTTCGAAGACCCTTCCGGCGAGGGTTTCCGACCTCTGAACCCCAGTCCGTAATTGAAGAAGTCCTCTTTCTGTTTTCGGCCGCCTCTGCCTCTTCCTCGACCTCGCCCCGACGCTTCAGTCGTCGAAGTGGAAGTCGGCGATGGTCTAGACGTGGATTTTGAACTTGAAGTAGTCGCTGGTGTCGTTGGTCTTATGGTCGTTACCTCAGAATCGATGGTTGTTACGTCAACGAGGACTGTCGTCTCTGGCGCAACAGTCGTGGTAACGTCTGTTCGAACAATTGAATTTCACGAGCTTAGAAAAATCTCTCAATTGGACAATTCGATCCGTTACACACACCCTTCCTTTTTAATACCTTTGCAAGCTAAATTACTGAATGTAATACCAAAGTCCGATCAAATTTTAATTAAAAAAAATTAATAAAAGAACCTTTTCACGCGTCGTTAAAAAATCACGATACAGAAATTTAAACCAGAGCAAATTATGAAACGTTCTGTTGGCAACAAGATTTTATTTGAATTAACAAATTATCTCACCCGTGTTTACAGGCGTGACTACATCCGGTCTCGACCTGTTTCTCGACCTTCCACGCGCGTCCTGACCATCCTGTCCACGACTTTCAATGACTCTTGAAACACCGTCGAGCACTCTCGATCTCCTTTCAGAGGAGCTTCTTTCTCCGGCCACTTTGCGCTTCGCGTCCCTCTCCGGGCCGTCGTTCGAACTAGATTTCACGTTATTTTCCAAATTTCTACCCCTGGATCTCGATCTAGACTCAGTCGCGGAGTTCTTCTTGCCGGAACTCTGCTCGAAACTTCTCGAACGATCCCTGGAAACCGTATTTCTCCTCGAACTAACGACCAGTTCGTTAGCCTCGGTAGTCGTCGTGGAATCGCCGAACTTCGAGGAACCTCTTCGAGACCCGGAGGAACCTCTAGACGATCCGGCAACCTCGGCATCGTTCGATCGTCCGCGATTCTTCGACCTTTCGGACCCTGTCCGACCAGACCTGGATGACTCTTTAGTGTCCGATCTTCTCTGAGAGATCAGAGAAGAACCATTCGTTGAACGATTTCCCGTTCCGTTCACCACGAGCGGTATGTCGACTCTCACACTCTCGGATTCCGACAAAAGAGTATCCGGACCTCTTCGAGTAACGGAATCGTTCTCCTCGTTGTTCACCCTCGATCTACCAGATCTGGTGCTCCTCTCGATCCTCTCTGTCGTCGATCTACCTCTCCTGTACGACGTTGTAGTAAATTCATTCTCAAACTTCTTGTTGCTGTGCCTCCTAGACGTAGAAAGCTGCGTCTTCAGGTCCTTCTTCGAGTAAGTCGTTTGAATCTTCCTGCCAGTTCTGGATCTCGATGGCTCCGTGGTTGCCAGGAATACGGACGGCCCTTTGTTGTCCAGTCTCTCAGTGATTCGTGAACTGTTCGATCTTCCATTGGACGTTCTCCGTGAAATTCCCCTCGACGTTTCGACCGAGACTCTCTGCTCGTTGTCCTTCGACCTCGTTTCCTCATCGTTCTCGGGGAAATATCTTTTGCCATTTCGTCTGTTAACCGCTGGCTCTGTCTTTCCAACTTCCTCGACCTTCTTGTCCGACCCGTCTGTGACTTGGGTCGCTGTCGATGTGCTGTCTCTTTTGGTAGTTCTGATGATCGAGGATTCGCTGGAGCTCGATTCCGAATTGATCGTTGAAGCCTGGGTCGTTCCTTCGATGTTCGAGAACCTCCTCGACTGCACCGATCTGTCTCGGTTCGTTCTAGATCTCGATAACGACGAGGCTGACGACGCGGTGGTTGCTTCCTCCGGTGACTTGGAATTGTACTTCAAAGTACCGCGATTCGCAGCTTTATGGTCGTCGGTCTGGACAAATTATTACCATTCGCGTCAGTTATTTAATTATTCATGATATTAGTGGTTTATTTGTCCATTAGTGGTTTATGGTTTATTTGTCCATTTGTCCACCCTTTAGTTTTCAAATTAAACAAACAAAATGAAAATGAATTTTCTACACATTAAAAATTCATAAAAAACAATACAACTTCAATACTTTAAAGTAACAATTATAAATAAAATATTAATAAACATTAAAATTATATAAGTAAAACAAGAAATTAGTATTTCTTCTGAAACTCCAACACTCTCTAAAGTTTTTAGCTGGGGTGTACGTGTAAGAATAATTCATGATATTAGTAGTTTATGGTTTATTTGTCCTTCTGAAATAAGGAACAAGATAGAGTATTCTTCTCTCGATACTATCTCAATAAATTTATGCCCAAATGAATATTTAAAAAAAAATTAAAATGATAGTTTTAAATATATATTTTTATTCTCATTAGTTCAAAAACGTTAGAGCATTAAATACATGTAGAGAGCTCAATGTGAAAACCATTCAGAAATCTGAGGCACCCTTTGCTTTCCAAATAAAACAAACAAAATGAAAATGAATTTTCCACACATTAAAAATTCATAAAAAATATTACAACTTCAATACTTTAAAGTAACAATTATAAATAAAATATTAATAAACATTAAAATTATAAGTAAAACAAGAAATTAGTATTTCTTCTGAAACTCCAACACTCTCTAAAGTTTTTAGCTGGGGTGTATGTGTAAGAACACGTGTCGCATTACGTAAAACCGCGAAGATTCAAATCCTAGGCTGCTTGATACTGTCGACAGCGACTTTTTCTCTAAATAGTGGTAACAAACAAATGTTAAACACATTCCGACAGCAGAGGACCGAGTCGTCATGACAACCTAATTGCACAAATTGTCCGAACAATGACCATTTAACTCAACGTAACCAACAACAACGTACGATGCTGGAGCCGGTGTAATTTTAAATAAATTAGCTGCACGCAGAGGAATTCATTCAGAACCAAACCGAGAACTGCTTTCGAATTCGCATTTAAAACATTCAAATTTATTCAAATGTATACGTTACGCGGTCTTCGACTTCGTGCTTAGACCTCGTAATAATCGTCGCGACGACGAAAGGATAAGACTGAGATTCACAGTCGAACGATTTATTATTAGGCCGACGTTCGTTAGATCCTCGTTAGTGAAAATTGTCGTCTAGCCGGATATTTTCCTATTAAGTATAGGCTTTGAAATCGTGGACGATCTCGGGTGATCGAATCACAGTTTACGATGCATTCAAACGCGACGAGTTTCATTATCCGCTTTCCATAAAGCGACAATTACGCGAGTAAAGGGCGTTGCGTCAGAGTTTCGAACGCGATCGATGATCCTTTTGCAAGTTGAGCATCGATCGATTAAAATTTTTAGCTTGATCGGCCGGCTAATGCTAATCGTCGAAAAATCTAGTAGACCGCATTTGACTAGAAAAATTATAATTGCACAAATGCACAGATAGTTAAGTAAATGTAAAAATATCCAAAGTAGGACGCTTCATTATAATGTTCAGTGAGCGAAACAAACCTCTGTTTAAGTTTTATTTTTTCTATCACGCTCGTAAAAATTCAAATTTAAATACATTCGCAATCATATGTTTCCTGAATACAATAATTAATTATTACCGATTTATCGTCAAATTTGTGTAATTTTTTAATTTTTTAATTTAATAATTTAATAATTTAATAATTTAGTAATTTAACAATTTAATAATTTAATAATTATTAAATTATTATTTAATTTAATAATTTTGTAATTTTGTAATTATTAAATTATTATTATATTATATTAATTATTTATTGAACCATTAATTACAATTAGTAACTAAGGCAGGAATTTAATCTTGCGATTAACATCTAAAACAAGAACGTGATCGTTAAGCACCGATTAAGTTTTCGCCTAACTTTATCATAAATCTTGAAAAAATATAGAGATAGCCGACGTTGTTGTCAAGAGAAAACACCTTGCAGCGAACTCTTGCACAGACGAGTTACGACCAGGTGTCGATCGAACGCAATTAGAGCAAGAACAAGCAAGAATGTCATGCCACGTAATGGGTGACATTTGCTTTGACGATCCTGGCGTCGATGAAACGAAATTAATGTCCTTAATAGGCTAACGGATAATTTTAAACACATACGTGCTTGTTTTGTTCCGCGTATGGAGTACATTAATTATAGAAAGTACATCGATATACAGGGTGTCGTGGATTCGTATTCAAAAACATGATACGCGAGTAAAGGCAGGAATAGGTGTCACGTGCAATCATGTGACGGTACAACATGAAAAAAAATAAGCCAAACGGAAAGAAGAGTTATTATTACAGTTAAGACTTTATTTTTGAGAAAATTGAATTTGATAGGTATAATATATTGAATATAAGTCAAAATAAAATGAAGTCAAAGATAAGATTTTTTTTTTATAAGCTTTATTTTTTTAGAAAATTGAATTCAAAAATTTATGAACACATACATTATAATAATTCTTAACTAAAACGTTCGAAGCCTATTCTCTTGAAAATGAGATTTTAAATGGAAAAACATTATTCTACGGTCTTCGTTAATTGTTTTTGTTCAAGTATATTTCAAATAGATGTAAATTTTATGCACAGGTATTCTTGACAAATTTTCAAACTCCATTTTCTCGAGAACAAAGTCTTAAATGAGAAAATGTTTTCCTTCTTGCTCGTCATGTGAATGAAAGGTGCAAAGAAATATCGATATATTTAGTTGGAAAAGATATACGCCCATAGAAAAAGCGAGAGAGACAGAGGAACAAATTGCTGATGGATCATTATTACATCAGGAAGAGAAGAACAGGTTTATGAGAAGAAGTTAAGGTGAAAGTATTCGCGATTGAGGAAGATATAAGAAAATTTTCAATTGCTTTGATTTTTTAAAATAGATGCTTCGTGTTCTTAAGAAGGTTGTGAAGATGAAATTGTGAAATATTATACTGGGCTAATGGTTCTGAATGATGAACTGCGTACACTGTAGTTAAATGTACATCCAACAGTTATTAATAATATACTCTGCAATCCCTGAAATTACAGGTGTGTGCTTGTGATTTCAATCATAATCCAGGCTACTTAGCTGTTCTTTACCATGAACTGATATTTTTTTGATTACAGTTAATCGCGAAAATGAAATTATATTTGTAATAAATTGGTCACAGACTTGTATTTTATCGAAAAGAAATTAATTAAATGATCGACAGATAATCGCTTACAATGGCTAATAAATTAACGACTCAACGTTTCATCCTTAAAACAGGTAACCGGTATTCATCCCAAATTAAAGTCATTGCCTGTCTAACGACAATAAACTTTATAAATAGATTCGTGATTTCATTTACTAATCATTAACTACCTTCAGTCACGAAATTAATTTGCCGAAAAAGTATCCGGACTTTACAATCTTTCATTCTTAAAGAATTCACAATTTTTGTCAATTCAATCGTTTCTACGCATTTATGATAATATCGTTATAACATTTAGAAATGCAGAAATATACATGATGCGTATAAAATAATCAAAGTAAAGTACATCATTATAGTTTTTAGCAATGGCTAAAAATTTTTAGCAAATTTTACAATTTTTACAAATGGGGCGATTTCAGTTTAGTTTTTTAATCAAGTTCATTAAAAAATTCGCAGTATAGCAATTGAGGAGAATATTCTTCAACCTCTTCGTAAATTTTCAAAGAAATTGATTGACCCAGACAAAAAAAGGATTTCGCGAAGTAGAATACTGAAAGTGACGCTTGCTGCTCTTATTATTATTTTCTTTCCGAGTAGTTGAACGTAACATCTCAAATAGCAGCGGTCACTATAATTTTCCGTTGCGTTGACCACGCTGCCAGGAACTTTGTCCATTAGTCACACTCTTTCAATCGCGATAACGAACCAAGATGGTCTCGCGAAGCCTCTCAAAAGTAAGAACCAAATAATTGGTAAATTTTTGTCTTTTAAACGATACGATCTTCCATAGACGGATTTTTCAGTTCAAACGGACAATCTATTCTTCTGGGAATGAATCACGTTGCGAATAATGAATCATATTACAAAATTAATTCGCTTGGTTCTTTGTGCGCGTGAAACAATAAGACTATGATTAAAAGTGAAACTGCTAACGCAACATTATGATAACATTAGCGATGGTTCAGAGTAAACGTTTTAATACGTCAATATCGTTCTAACCTTTTACGTACATCCTGTGACGATGTTCAAAATTATTGCTTCTATCAGTTCGATGTGATAATAATTTCTTATTGTTAGACTGTGTTTGGAGATTTTTATGAACTGCTGTATATCAATATTAAAATTATGACAATATATTTGTATGATTCATATATACTTACTCTCTGATATTATGTTACGTACATTAGAATGTATTTAACAATACAATTTTTCTTTTTAACGATCATTCCTTACAGAAATCAAGCAAAATCCAACGAATCAATGTTATATATTAACGATTAAATCTCAGACAGACATCACGCTGTCATGGCGCAATGATGGCGCATTGACGATAAAAACGTAAGTAGTTCCTCACGCGAATGACCTCCGTGAGCGCGGATCAAGAGGCTGTATTTACCTAAGAAATTATTTTCAGAATTACAATACAAAGGCAGTGACAGTTGTAACGTGGCTTGGCGTTCCAGTTTCATTTATCCTTATCTACCTGCAAGGCACACGTAGGCATGGAATCGAACGCTGAAAGTAAAAGTCGGTGTTTCACGTCACGTTACCTAGTCAAGCATGCAACCGAACTCGAGAACAGTCTTAAACACGGCTGGCTGAATGCGCGGCTAACTACTGTAAATAGACCTGCAAAATAACCTCTCCGCCGAGTTTCCCGAGCACGAAACACTTCTTTCGCGACATTTTTGCTAAAACAGTTGAAAAACGAATTCGAAACGTTTCACCTGCTCACGAAAGTGCTCGAA